CAGTACCCCATTTTTAAGAAAGGTCTAGATAAACAAGAGAAATTACTGATTGACCATTCTTGTAATGTGGTCAGTGCCTTGTATCTGTGCCAAATAGCTGAGAATACTAGCTAGACACATGAATTAACCAAAATTAGCTTAATAGCAAGTGACAGAAATCTTTAGCCATATCAATGTCTAAAACAAGATTTAGACAAATTTAGAAATCTGGATAATCAGGGAGCAATCATCTATTTCAATAAGTTAGAGACTCAGGTTTATCTGGTGAGTCCATCATTCAAAACCTGACCTTATGACCAAAAGGTGGCATTTGCACTCAGGCAGCAAGATGAAGGGTCAGTTGGTAAGATGAAAAGCTACTCACAAAGTGAACTTTGAGAAGCTTCCACATTGGTCAAAACTTAGCCCTAGAGCCATTTCCAGCTGAGCAAGAAATGAGGAAATGTATTTATTCTGTCCCTGTGTCCAAGTTAAAATTCCATTGCTTTGGATTAAGGGAAGAATGGATAGTGGCTAACAACTTACAGATCTGCTGCATTGCTTTTTAACTTTAAAGATTTAATGTATCAAGCTCCTTTGTAAGGCTTCACCTGACCTAAGTATGAACACGGTAATGTAGGGGCCAAAAAACTATGATGTTATTGTCAGAAAATATAAGAAGCTTTAAGGAAAAATCTAGGACCCCAAATGACTGTCTTTGAAAATGGTCATTTGGTATCCATCTAGTTAGATTTCTGAGTGTGTGGAGAAGAGAGAAAACTCAAGACATCCCATCTTACCTGGTGTGTAAATGCATCGCATCAAGTTGTATAAGAAAAAAAATCATTCTTATTTCACTATGTGCTTCATGAGCTGTGACATAAATAAATGCTTCAGATAACTTTTGCCAAGCCACAATGTTGATTGTTCCTTCTGTGGGTTGAGACCTTAAGCTCCAAACTGTTACCTTAACATGTTATTTCAGCATGTTTTTTCAGTTTGGACTTTAGCAAAAGTCCAAACTAAATGGTTACTACATGTGTTCAATAGTTCCAATGTGGTGACATTAAATGCAGTGTGACTGCAGAGTATTACTCCTCTCCATGTCTCAGGTCAACCTACAGCAGGAAGTAGACTCCAAACACACACACCTTTCTCCTCAAACCCACGAGTTTAGTGCCAGACCATGAAACTGATGCAATATTAAGAGGTACCTGAGTAGCAACCTATAAAACAAAAGAGAGTTGCTTTAGTTTGAGTAGGGACAAGCTACCGACATCTTCTTTGTCACTTCTCCCTTCCAGGATCAACAGCACACTATACAGCAGACACAGTTCTAGTTCTCAGACTAGTCCTCATAACCTAGATGCTTCTCTCTCCCATATTCACCAAAATGGCATGTGCATCACTAATGACTTTGTTAACCTGATAATATTCCTTGCTTTTTCTATATTCTGCTCTCTTCCTGCTTTCTCCTCCATTTCTCACTCCTCTGAAAAATGACTTCCATAATTCCATTCCCTTCTCATGTGGAGTACATCCAGGACTTCTCACGGAAAAACACAAGAGGCACTTTCCAGATTTCATCCAAGTGAAATTTTTTATGGCATATGGACAACTCTTGCCTTTTTGAAATTATCTCCTTTTGCATAAATTTCTGCTTCTCTGCCTGCTGCTTTGTATACAGAGAGTTGAATCAAATAACTCTTGCAAAAAAGAACATCAAATAAGTAAACCCAGCTTGTGTAATTGACAGCAAGATCTCTGAGGTGCTACTCATCCAAACTAGGTCATTATCCATGGATGATATATAAAGTGCAGATGTTTAAGGATGCAGTAGATTAGGACTGCTCACCTCACTAGCATTCTACTTAACAGAGTGAATAATATCTTTATGTGACATAATAACATATTTTAAAATATTTTATGTGCATTTGATAGTGTTCTAGGATAATTACAGAAAAGCTTTTGGTTCCTCATTTCAATCCAGTAATCTATGATATATTCTCACTAGTATTCTAAAAAATATTTTTATTCCTTTGAAGTTATACAATGCTGTATATTTTATATAATGGTTAGTTACCTAACTATCAGTTTTGCTAGATAATAGATTCCTTATAAAGAGAAGAATCATGTCTTTGTTTATCTTGATATACCTGATAGAATCCTGGGTATAGTAACTTTTCAATAAATTATATGGAATTAAAATTTAGACAACTCTTCAAGCAGAAGCAAGAGGTAAAATATTCTTTACAGCAGTGAATTTCTTCTTACTCATGTGATGATAGTCACCTAAAACTGAAGCATTCATCTTTATGACAACATTATAGTACAAGTTTTGAATAACTAGAAGATACAAATTATAGCCAGATGTAGAAATAGTATGACCTAACTTGTAATTTTCTAGTTTATATAACAACTAAGTTACATAATCACAGATTCAACAGCAGTATCTTCTCCTAGTTACAATATATTCCCAGCTAGCTTGGCAAATAAATAAGACACACACATCTGAACAACAATGAATAATAAGAGAGCATATTAAAACCAAAGAATCTAAGTTTTCAGCCAGGATCTGAAACTGTAACTCTGTGTCCTTTGCACTGCATTGAAAAGATGTCATTTATTTCTGACTATGATTAATGGTGCTTTTTAGATGGCCAACTTTCTTTGACATTTAACAAAAGATTACATTCTGGGGTTTTGCCTTATTTCAGTTCTAGCATCATTTGTAACTCTGAACAATCAGATAATGAAATGCTGCACTTGAAGTATGATTTTGTTTTATTAGTGTTAATCTTGCAATATTATGATGTAAGTGGGGATAGATAGGTAGGTAGGTAGATAGATAAATTTCATCAGAAGGTATGGTTCTCTACATACTGCAAAGGCCATATCAGCAGGAGAATAACAGCATGGATTCTCATACTGGCATTGACAACCACATGACTCCAAAAAATAACAGCAATATCTAGAGAACAGAGCTGAGCTGTGAATTGATCCTGGGTGCAGGAAGACGATTTTGAAGTGTATAGAACATATTTATATTTTTATAACACTCAATCAACAAACAATAAGTCTTAGAATTGTTTCGGCACAATGATAAATAAAAGGAGAAAAGAAAGACAAATAAGGTGCCAATTGGCATTTTTGAAAGTATTCCTTTCACGTTCATAGGTGTAAAAAAAGAATAAAAAGAACATTGCTTCAGTTACCATCTGAAAGCAAGTCCAGAAACAGAATAAATGAAGCATGAGCACATGCTTTAAAAAAAGAGTCCTACCATCAAGTTAACATATGCATTGAGTAGGAAACAAGAGAAAGAGTCTTGGGTTTCCAGGTTGGAATGGGGGTGGGGGGTAGTTCAGGTAAGATTTGAAAAGATAATTATTGGCATGCCTTTCAAGAAGACTAAATGCAGCAATAGATACACCAGAATAATTATATGGTAATTAACATGCTCTCTTTCTTCCTCTTGGGGAATTTTTTTGCTCAGATAGAAATGAATTCTGACTGCCACAGTATTTCATTTGGCAGGATATCAGGTAATTTATATTTCAAATATGAGCTCATCATCAGTTCCGTCTGTTAATGTTACCTGAGCATCATAATATTTGAAACTCTGACATGAGAAAACAAACCTTAAAATCAAAGTCCCGAATCTGGGAGACACACACCAATAAGAAAGCCAAATAAATACACTCTTATCTTGGAGGCACTGTATATTCATTTTAAGTCTTCTAATCCACCAGCTCTCTATCCTCACTTGACAACCTCATGAGGGAGAAACTACAGGCAGGGTCTAGATAATAAGCCAAAAAGTGCTGGACTTCCTTGAATAGGACCAGGATATTGTATTTATCCTAAGCCACAATGTGGGAAAAAGAAAATACTGGCTAGTAGACTTGATCTTAACCGATCCTCATTTAAGGACTGTTTATAGGTTTGAAGGATCTTTTTCCCCTTCTTCTCTCATAATTTAAAACTGAGAGCTGGAGAAGGTGGGAAGATGTCACAACAGTGTTGGTGTAAAGATAAACTCCTAGTGCTGAGGATAAATTCACTCCTCCTCCTTAACCCAGGTTCTTAACCAGATGACTCCCCTTCCTTGTGCAGGAAGGTCAGGATCAAGAACAGGGTAGGAACCATCCTTTCCTCTCATGGAAGGCTGTTTTTACCTAATGAACAACCCACCTCCAGCAGTCTTTCTCTTTCTCAGTCTTCAGGACTCAATTCAAATGGTTTCTCCTCTGGTATTTTTCGTTGTCCCATGCAAGCATTCTTAGCCAAGACTTCCCTTGCACTAACATGTTACCTTGAGCACTACTATCAAAACGCTTTTAAAAATTAAGTTGTATTTGCTTTTTTGAATAGCTTTCTCCTCTACCAGGTTATGGATATGAGCACTCAGTCTCTCACTTAGTGGTTATCCAGCGTTCTCCCAATCCAACCCATCTTACTACAAAGAAAGAAAAGTTTAATAAATAATACCTTTCCAATAGAGATCTGTCCATATCATCAAAGGAGACTGTGACAACAATGGGTTCTCAATAAATACATTATATTGTTTCTTTTACACCTTGTCTTCCATAGTTGAAGTCAAAAATATTGTTAGTACCTTGCTCAAGGGAAAAATCAAAACAGTTGTTCAAAATGAAAACTGTCTGGAGAGTAAAATAACGAGAAGGGTTTATGAAATTGATATTGACTACAGGTGGTGGTAGATTTGGTTTTGAGTTTATCTCATCAAAAATGTGTCTAGAGCAGTGGAATATTCTCCAATAGAGTGATTTTGAGAGCTTATACACAGTGTGGTGGTGCTACTTCATTCATTCAATAGCTTAAGAGATTTTGTTGCCCTCAGTAAAGAAAGCAAGGGAAATAACCACTCACATTTTAAGTTCTTAAGCAATCAGTGCATACTGTGGAACATAGAAAATATTGAAGTAGTCTCAGTGCCTGCATAAGTTCTTAAAGGGGAATAAAAGCATGTTTTGGTACCTCTTTCTTTTCTTCAATAGGATACTCAATACTTCAAGCAATTATGGAAAAAGCAGGACAAAATGGTTGGCATGTCAGTGCTATATGTGTGGAAAATTTTAATGATGTCAGCTATAGACAACTTCTAGAAGAACTTGATAGAAGACAAGAGAAGAAATTTGTAATTGACTGTGAGATAGAAAGGCTTCAAAACATATTAGAACAGGTAAGTCTAGATTTTTATCTTACTGCTCATCTATACCTTACATAAAAATGTTGACCTTTGCCTGATTTCCTCCATTACTATCTTCTGTCAATCTTCTAGTTTGGAGTGTGAAGTTTGGGAGTTTTCCATGATTTATCTCCAGGACTAAATCATAATCTTTTATCACCAAAGGCCATTTTGAGTCTTAGGTCTCAGTGAAGTTAGGAGCCCTGCTTCTCACACAATGTGAAAGTATGAGCAATAGATGATCCTTAGTGAACTATCAAGAGCTCCTGATCTTCTGTTTTCAACAAAATAAAAGAAATTTATGTGGAGTACTGTGCACAGTACATTTTCCTGCTAGGTATTACAAGTAAATACATTGCCCACTGCCATAAAGATGATTTCAACTCTCCTCACAAAGAATCTTTTAGTAAAGCTTCCAGTAAATAGTTGTTGATTTGATTTGAAGTAGGCAGGAAAAGATAAAACTGAGCTTTGTCATTGTGCTAAATGATGATAGGAAAAAATCATCCAATAATGGATAACATTTGCCTTCAGCCTAATCCTGCACATCATGATAAAGCTTTGAGGCTGTCTTTAGCCAAAATTGCGGTGACTGTATGCCATCTAGTGGTTTTACAAATGCTTGCTTATATTTATCTACAATATGTTAGGTAGGCTAAATGATAAAGTTACATGATTTGGGGTTGACGCACTTGTTATTTTTAATTTAACTGAATAATTACATGATTAGACTTGTAATAAGCTTACTAATTTGGAGGCTGGTTTATAAGAATCACTATAGTACTCAATTAAACAGAGGATATGTTTTAAAGACTCCTCAGTACCTAAAGACACAGAATTAGAGGTCTTAAGCTTCCATAACTACATATGAACATCTATGAAACTTAATCATAAAAATATGCTACATTTCTAAGGCATGAAGCTAGACTATACTATAAAAGGAATTGACAAAGTATTTACCTCAGTTATCTTTATAGAAGAAAAAAACAAACAAAATCAAAAACACTTCACAGAAGAAATACATCTATATGTTGAGATTATTTTTATATTACACTCTGTATCATCAGGCTTATTCCTGAGGGAGTCCAAAGACTCATTGAGGTAGTAACTATTCAAGATATATTAAAATTTTAATAGCTATATATGGCCTCTAAGAAAAAACTTTCCCCCTGACTTTCTTAAGCAGTGCAGTCACTTCAGCTCCAACTCCCATTCTCTCTTCCTTCCACTCCCGCCCTTGTGTGAGTTGGAGTTGTTTGACCTGAACAACTGAAGCTTTGTAAATAACTCAGGATGAAACCCACAGAGCTGCCAATTCTAATAACTGCCTGGATTGCCAAGTTCCTGTCAGAGGGTGAGTAAAGCTCAGAAAGACCCTCCACTTAGCACCTGTGCTTCAAAAACTGAGTCTGGAGGAGGCTATTGAGTGCCCAAAGCACACTGACCCATTTCAGAGGCTTAGCTGGTTTCTAAGGAGAAAATCAGCACACTCTGGTGTTTTGGATAAACTCTGAAAAAGCTGTAAATAAGCTCCTGCCAAAGGAACTGGATGTCTTATTTTTTGTCATTTTGAAGAAATTAGAAAACTTAAGTGTCTACCTTTCTTATGCTTTTTGCTGAATTAGGAAAGGTTGCTTTCTTTTTAGGCTGCAAAGGAATAAGGAGAATAACAGACTCTTGTCTTTTTAATCTGCACTCAGGTAGATACCACATAAATTGTGATAAAGTCTACAGTATTGTGAGAAACCAATGTACTTTACATTGTCCCTTCCTTCCTTCCCAAGAAAGTTATTTTTTAATTCTGAACATGATTTTTTATTATCTGCATTTTAATTCCTCATACCTCTAATCAAAATCAATTCTTGGTTTTACTTTGACCCATTCAAACACAAGAGCTAATCAAAACTTTGTCAGGAATTTGTATATACCTCTATGTTTCAACAATGCCCCTGGGTTTCAAAATTCTCTTTCATAAATTAAAATAACAACAGAGAGCAATGTCAAAGAATCAACCAAAGTATTTTTCAAAAAGAGGTTGCCGGAGCCTGGAGAGAGAAGGCAAGAGAGAGATACAAAGTCATAGCCAGATATGAGGAATAAATTCTGGTGCATTATTACAGAGAAGGGTGATTATAGTTAACAATACTGTGTCAGATAATTCAAAATCACTAGACTTTTGAATGTCCTCATCACAAAGAAATAATAAGTGTTTGAGATGATGGATATCCTAAATATCTTGGGTCAATTAATATGCAACATACATGTACCAAAATAACAGACTCTACTTACTCTACTTAAAGATGTTCAATTGTATCAATAAAAATTGTTTTAATGAAATTTTAAAAGTTAAATAATCTTAATTGAAAAAAATTCATTTGAAAAAGTAGCCCTCTCTCAGAAGAGTGTGAAATTAATATGATGAAAATAAGGAGCTGAATTATAAAATTTCTAGAAGGCCAAGTATATGCCATATTATGCTGGCATGCTGTCAATAATTACTTCCTTGACATTTCAATTTGTATCAGTTTGCAAAAACGTAATGGAAATAGCTCACATGCTATTCTTTCAAAATATATTAATGGACAACTGTGGTTAGAAAAGCATTTCATCTTCTCTACATGTCTTCCAAATTATTTTTATGCCATGAACTAATTAGTTCTTATAAATGTATTGATTTTAAAATAGCAGTTGACCATATACTCATTCAAACATTTCAAAACATGAGCATCAAGAATGTTACACTAAGTTTAAGCCTGAACAAGCCTCTATACTTGAATCCTTGCATGATGAGCTGCGACCTAGCTCAGTAAAAACAAGTGAGACTTAGTCAACCACAGAAGGTGAGCCTTAGCCGATCACAAGCAACCAGTTCTTCCAACTAAGGCAAAACACGTAGCTGTAACCAGGTAAGGCATTCCTTACATCACTTCCATTTCCTGTCATTAAATGTTGTCTGACAACATCATAGTCCCAGAGATCTTTGAGCTTCTTTGGGTTCTGAGGGCTGCCTGATTCTAAAATCTTAAATGAAAGTAAATTAAGATCTTGAAACTGAATTTGTTGTAATTTTGCCTTTTGAAAAAGAGCAACTATTTGAAAATGCAACTGAAGGTATTTTGATTTTTCTGTCTCAAATCAAATGATTAAAAAAAAAGTGAAAGAATTTATGTAAATAACAACCTACTGTGCCAGTTACTGTGAGCTTAACTAAAAGATACTCTTAGCTTTTACTCTTTCGGCCTAATTTTTCTTCCTCCAACAATGCATCAATTATTTTGTAGAATAGTTCTCAATAGCTAACATAGCTATAACCTAATGTTTTCATATCAAAATAAGTGGTTTGTAGTGACAGCTTTGAATATATTGTTTGATTTTCACATGTATTTATTACTTTTAAGTCCTGAACTCAACACTTGTATAGTCCTTGGGGAGTCTGCCTAATGCTTTATTAGTTGCTTACTGAAGTATCAGATGCTCATGTTTAACCCAGTGGCAAGAAAGCAACAACAAACTTGAACTTAACTATCTATGAATCAAAAATTATTTGATGTTCTCCAATTCCATCCATTTACCAGCGAATGAATACTCTTTCTACAACAAAATTAGAAATAAGGGCAAAATAGTTTCTGCTGGGTATTGAGTGGGGGGAGAGGGAGGGGGCGGAGTGGGTGGTAAGGGAGGGGGTGGGGCCAGGGGGGAGAAATGAACCAAGCCTTGTATGCACATATGAATAATAAAAGAAAAATGAAAAATAAATAAATAAAATAAATAAAAACCTCAAAAAAAATTATTTGAGCAAAATCACACTTAAGGCAAGTGATTGCTCATATATTTCACTCTGCCAAGAAAAAAAAAAGGGTGCAGTTTTATTTTTATGTTCCTAGTTTTTGTGAAACCCTTCACTCATGAACACTCAACTCTGATACTCTGGATTAGATAAGCCAAATTTTTGTAGTTCTAACATAGATGTGCTTTTACTCCCTGAGAAATGGATAAGAAATCTTCAATTGTTTATTTTAAAAAAGCAAATGGAATCACTTAACAGCTGTGATTCTTCTCCTTACTTTATATGAGGTGAATTGAGCTAAGATTATCTTGTAAAGCCCTGCTCACTGTAAAAATCAGTAATGCTACTCCCAGTGAAGTCTGTTTGGTTTTGTGTTTGATCATGAAGCAACATACAGTTTTACACATGGGATATATCATGAAATGAAGCATAAAATAAAATGTGTCAGGTGGCCTTTTTGTATAATAATTAATAATTGTGTTAATAAATAATAGCTGCATGCCTACTATATACATACTATACACAGATTCTATGTTCTGCTAAAGTGCTCAGCAAAACAGACATGTTTTTGTTCTTATTAGTAACTCTTCCCTAGGTAACTAAGGTTAAACCAAACTGTTTGTTAAAACTCCACTGAAATATATTCTTTCTTGTTGAAAAGTAGTACATAGAAAGTTAACAAGAATCTCTCACTGCCTCCAGGATATTGCTATGAATGCCAGTTCTTGTGAATACACGGAACACATCATGGATGTGTTTTAAGAGTCCAACCAAGTATTTATCAGGAGATGATAGTAAAGACTGGCCTTACATTGTGAAATAAATATTTAACAAAAGGATGGAGAAGAATGACCGGCTCTGCAATTGGCTGACAAACTTCTCAAACTGCCTCTTTCTCACATCATTCAGATTTTCTTGGTACCTTTTCAGCAGTATTGCCACTTTCACTACAAGAAAGGGAAAGTCAGTGTCCCAGTAGAAGCAATGTGAAACTTGGGTAACTGGTAACCCAGTGACCTTCCCATACTATTTGCAAATTAATCAAGAAAAGCCTAAAAGCCATACTGTCCTTTCAGAAACTTACTGCCCCCTACTAAAGAAAAACAATCATTCTACCTCTGGACAAGATCAAAGGAAAGGAAAATTGCTCTCAAACATAAATATGGTCATTTGCACATAAGAGGTGAAACACAAAGTTGAGTCTAAC